AAAAACAAACAATTTCTGAAAATTATAAGACGTTGTGATCTGCAGTGAGATTAAAGAGTAGGTGGAAGAGAGTCTGGAGAGGTGAAGTCAGCCAGAGCAAGACAAACTGCACGTGTGAATGTGAGGGGGATAGGTGGAACAGTGAAGCTGTAGTACAGGCACTAAAAGTGGATGAGTTTAAGCACCGGAGGGTCAACCATCCAAAGATACAAGAGTGAAAGGGGAGGTTTACAAGAGAGTGGTACATGAAGTTTGGTTCGAGACGGTGGCTTTTACAAAAAGACAGTAGATGGAGGTGGTTTGGACCTTCACCTTTTGGAATGAATAAGTCCTGCAGCTGAAAACCCTTCTAACAAGACAGACACATGTCTTGGTACTGATCCTGTTTGCTTTTATAGGTCTTTTCATGTGTAGGATGGTTCAAATACATGTGGATGTGTGTATTCTGTCAGTAAAGCTGTTTTCATTTTAATCCTTTAAAAGTAAAGTTGGCAGAAGACTGGTTCTCTCCCAGTTGTTTCTCTTTTCTTTGAGTCTGTGTTTCATTTTAGTGTTTTGTGTTACTTCTTTACATTTTGAGATTCTTGTGTTTCCTGCCTTCCCCAGTGCTTCTCCCTTCATGTTGTCAGCTCCTGCTTCACCTGTTCCCAATCCCAGTCACCCCAGGTGTTCATCGTTGTGTCTCGTCAGTGTCTCTTTGAGTTCAGCGTCTCTCTGTTTCCACCTTGTCCGTGGATTGTGCATCGTGCTCTGTTCCTCCCTGCTCCTTAGTTTTTGTACGTTTTGCTGCCAGAAGAACTTTTGTTTTATTTTTACTTCCCTGTGTCTGTCTGTACCTGAGTTCAACTCTCACCGCTGAGCTTCATACTTTCCTTCTTTTATTTTTCTTGGGTGAAGGGATGGTAATTTCTCTGAAAATTAAGAGCACCCCCCCAACAGGAAACCATTAAGGCACAACTTGGCATGTCAACACCAGATGATGGAGTTAAAAAATAAGTGGCAGTCATGTTAATTGTTAAAAATTGCTTAGTAGACGTCAACTCTTCAAAATCCACTTCACATTCTTAATGTGAAGCTGCCAGGGAGGAGGAAGAGAGGAAAACCACAGAAGGTTCACGGATGTAGTGAAGGAGAGAGTTGGTGTGACAGAGAAGATGTGAGATGAAACATTTGCTGTACGTTGGTCATTCTCATGGTGTCGGAGTGATCGGCACTTGTGCTCTGCATGTTGATCTTTTGCAATGAAAGTAATAAGGCCCCCCTGTTGTGTCCATCATGCCTCGCTTCCAAGACCTCCCCAGCAACACCTGGCACCATGGCAACCAACACCTGTTCCCATAATTAAAGGGATACTGGTAGGAACGTAAATAAAACAGTTAATGAAACACTAATCTGATCTAGTCAAACACCCCTATAGCAGAGGTTTCTGTGATGGACGCCTCCCCATGCAGCACCACCTTGAGCGACCTCATCATTGTCAAAATTTTTCACAGTGGGGAGCAGACAGAGGAGAAAGAGGGGGGAGCACGGGTGCTGCTTTTAAGTTTGTGGACAGAGAGGTGTCAGGTAAATGAACAAGCGTTAAAAGATGAGGCTTCCTTTGCTCAGCAGCTGGAGCGGCTCCAGGTCGCAGCAGCTGCTCCGCTCTTGTTTACAAGCCGCCAACTGCTGCAAGTCGTCTTCCAGAACACAGAGCCCGTGAAAGGAACAATCTGCGCTGACCATTTAATAAACTGTTAAATGTTTTATGTGCCACTAAAAGGTACAAAGTTAGATCTCCGCGTTGACCAGCCTGCCAGTCAGTCAAACAAAATACATCTCTCAGCAGGACGGGAATGGCTTCAGTTCAGATTGAAGTTAAAGCCACTCGATGCAATGTCAACCAGTCAAAAATAATGATAAAGAACAAAATCTACACCATATTTTTCTCATGATGGGTAATGTGTCCCTAACTTTAAAAATCTACGACGCGTTTGATTGCTTATGGAAACAGTTGAAGTGACAGAAAACCAGTCAACAAAGGTGACCTCCATGGAAGAGCTGTTTGGGATGAACAGGTCCAACAATTTTCATGTGTTGGTACACACCGTATTTTCCGCCGTACACGTTGCACCACCCTATAAGTCGCATCAGTCAAAATATGTCTAATAAAGTGGAAAAATCCATAAATACATTGCTTCTATTATGTGTCACCGCTGACGCGTCACGTTTGTTACGCATCACCGCTGACAACCTGGAAATGTGGGCCGGTGTTGTGCCAAAAATCGATTGGCTGCCAAATGGCGGCTCAGAGAGCGTGCACGGGAGGACTTTAAAAAGAATTTAACAAGATTAACACTTAAAAACAATTATTTGTTTGCTCGAAATTATAGTAAAAGGTGTGTCTCAGTCTAACTTTTCCTTATTAAATGCACTTTGATGGTCAAATCAGCTGCATTTCAAAAGCCGATTCGCAGAAGTGGGAGCGCGCAGAGGGACGACGAGCCACTGTGCATTTCTTCGAAATTTAACAAGATAAGCACCTAAAACAATTATTTGTTTGCTCGACATTATAGTAAAGCTGTCTCAGTTGAACTTTTCCTTAATAAATGCACTTCTGTGGTCAAATAAGCTGCATTTTGCCGGAGCAGCACAGCGAAATGAAGCTGATTTGACGGTTGCTGCAAGCAGAACAAAGGTGGCTGGCTGTGGCAAGCCGATTGTGTCATTAATAGCCACTTTTAACTAATACATGACACAACAGCATGCCATACTGCTTGAGTGCCATCTTGCAGCTGAAAATGGTAGTGTTCAATGCAACAAAGTTCATGCTCAATCATCCAAGTACCAAATCCAATAATTCTCGGGTCATCTGGACAGTTTCTTTTTTATAGAGACGTTTCGCCCTCTATCCGGAGGGCTTCATCAGTCAGAGGAGTTCCAGTAAACTGTTTCCCCACCAAGCAGTAAACTCCTTAAGTGGACCAACCAGTTTGCTGGAGCTAAGATGGTTTCTGGTGGCCGTCCTGTCCCTCGTTGACTCCTCTCAGGCATGCAGCCACAGCCAAAGTTGTTCAAGGCAACGAAGTTCATGCTCAATCATCCAGGTACCAAATCCAATAGTAGTGTTCAATATTTTCAGTCAAAATTAATAAAAACGGTCAGATCTCAGCCAAAAATTGGTTTATAAATATGGGAAAAAACATAAATACGTCGCTTTGGCCTATAAGTCACAAGGGCATTCAAATTATACAGGGGAAAAAAAAGTGACTTATAGGGCAAAAAATATGATTTTTGCACTCAGTTTTGTTGAGTAAAGCAGAAAAAAGATATATATTAGGTTGAAACAGTTCACTAATCTGTCTAGAACAGGGGTCTGCAAACTTTATGATCAAAAGAGTCATTTTTACACCTTCATTCACTAAATTCAAAGTGTACAGAGCTCTGGAGAGGAGAGAAAAAGTGTTCAGAGCTGCAATAACCTGCTACAACAGTGATTATCAACTGGTGGCCCATGGGCCACTTTAGGTTTGTTGGAGGAGACTTTTGTGGTCAGTACGAGTGACATTATAAAAATAGCAAATGATTTTAACATTTATTGATATTTTTACAATTTAAAACAAATGAAAAGACCAGATTCTTGTAAAGAGGGAGAAAATTGTTTTTAAATTTAAAAAAAAACAACTATGACTGCAGACCTATGCCATTTTTTTTTTATTGTGGAAAAATTAATTAAGTATAGAAATAAAGCAAAAGGTTAAAGTGAGTATTTGCAAAAGAAATGAAAACAGATAAAACTAGTACTTTTTTGTTGTTTAAGTAAACAATAAAATTCAGTTTTATGTTGGTCAAAGCTTGAAAGAGCTGCTACAGAGGGACCAAAGAGCCGCATGTGGCTCCAGAGCCGCAGATTGCAGAACCCTGGTCTAGAAGTTTAGCAAATTCTAGAAAAATCTGTCTGGATGACATGAAACTGCTTTTGTGATTTATTTACTTGGACGATTGAGCTTGCATGCTATTTTTTTTTCACGATCCCTAACATTTATTCTTGGCAGTCGTTTTACTCGTTCTGTTTTTTATTTGGCGTTTAGCAGAAAATTAATTAAACATTTTCTCCTCAACTCTGTCACGTCCACCATATTTGTTTGTCTGCAGAGGATAACCAGTAGTAGTGTGCAGACTGATCCAGCTACCAGTACCAACGCTAGCGTTGTATCAATACTTGAGTTTGGTTCTCTTTACTTTATGTATTTAAGTATGTTCGTCCCTTTCCAGTGACATGGAAAATTAATGTTATTATTTTGTTTCTGAACAAAAACAAAATCCAAGAAGAATGTAAAGTCTACAACATTCATCCTCAACCCTGCATTGATTTACTATTTGCGAAACCAGTATTTACAATATTTTTATTGGCCTAGAAATCCATCCTGTGTTTTAAAATGCAAACAATTGACTAATTATAGGAACGATAAATCCGGTCATTCATTAGTCGTGAAAGTATATTCAGATTTAACATACTGATGATAAAACATGACACACTGCTCTCCCTGAGTGAAATCATTTAGGCCACCCTATTAAGTTAAACACAAACACCATAAACACCTGCTAATATGAATAAATAAATAAATAAATAAACTTAATCAGCCCAATACCTTAAACAGCAGAGTAAAAAGAGGTAGTCAGATCATTATGAGACATCCTCCAACAGCTTTAATAGAAATTTTAGGGTAACACAAGCTTTAAAATCAATAAAATATATCAAAAGAATAATTTAAATCTCACCCTAAAAGTAGAGAAGCTGTCCGCCTCCCGAACTCAAACGAGAAACCCCATAAATGAAGGCTGCCTCCTCTTCTTCATTTAGATGCTCTAGGATCCACGAGTAAACCTGCAGTCTGTTAGGAAAATACGAAACTGGGAGATGTTTTAGTTAGGATGGCACTTGGTGCATTCCCATTTTAGGTCAAATGTTTCCCTCGTAGGTCTGCTCTCCTGAACTCTCGCTCTGTGTTTTCCTCCAGGAAACCTCAAAGGGATGTGTAAACACATAGACCACTTTCCAGAGGAAACAGATTACGAAGCGGACCCATCCGAGTACTTCTTACGTGAGTATTTTTCCTCTTTATCTTCCAAAGAGCAAATGATATTGGACATTTCTCCTTCTCTGTTTCTTTCTGGATGTTTGTCCCAGTTTTGGCTCAGACCGGAGTGTTGCCAGGTCTGCTGCTCTTGGCCCGTGAGCCGGTGCTGTCTCCCTGCTTTTAGCACGAGGTTGGCGGGGCTGAGCCCTGCCAAACAGCTCATCTGTTTTTACTGCTTGGCTGTGTGTAACATAACGTGCGGTGTTATCGTCAGCTGTGTACCCTGTAAACACAGGCCATTGATTTTAGCTCTTTTTCCCTTTGTGCAAGCAGGACAGGGATGCTTATTGGACTGGTTTGTTTGCTAATCCTAAAATCACAACAACTCTGACCATATGATGTTCAAGTAATGTCTGAACAATATTTAAAAAAGGTAATTAGAAAAAAGTTTATTCAGTTTTCACTTAGTCACTGCTAAGAATTCTCTGTCAGTGCTCATTGTTGTGGTTACCGATGATGCTGGAGACAGTCGTTGCTATGGTTACTGTCAGAGTGTTGCAACTGATGCAAGTTGCAAATGTTTCTATGGTTACATCTTGATCTGTTGAAACTAATTATAAATACTTTTACATTTTTTAGTACACCTTATCAGTAATTGGGATCCAAATAGATCTTATCTTTGAAGGACTTTATTTTGGAGTGCTTGTTTGTTAAAATGGAAACCTGTTTCTTTGGGTCAGTTTGCTATAAAGTTGTAACTCGTGAATTATTGCAGCTGTTATCACCCGCCACAGATCTTTACCTCTGGCACAGCAGGTGGCAGACAATATGCACTCCTTGAAGGAATGCTAGCCTTTTAACATTTAACTAACTTTTAATTTTTCAATTCATGTCTATGAAACATTCAATGATGTGCTAAAAGTTGACTTTATCCATTTCCAGAAGCTCCACATAAACTCACTCCAAAATGCTTTGTCAGTTTTTATACAGAGAATCAGCATTACTGTACTGAGAATTGATAGTCCATGAAGAATGGATGGATGGATGGATGGATGGATGGATGGATGGATGGATGGATG